TGCGGCCGAAATCCGCCTGCAGGGGGACATGCCCGACCGAAGACTACAGTCTACAGCCCAAGGGACCGCCGCAGGCTGTCTCGCTCTTTTCGGCTGGACGTGAGAGCGTGGCGTGACCGTTCGCCGGAGCGACCTCCGGTGCGGGCCCAATGGGGGTGGCAGCGGCTTGCGCGCCCAGGTTCGGCCACCCCGCGTCCCCCCGTGCAGGGTTCGCTTCGATTCCTCCGAGTCGATTCGATTCGATCTCGATTATCTCCGATTCCGATTCGATCCCGCCTGGGTCTCCGATTTGGGCTCCGATTGCTTCTTGGAGGCGCACTGGCCTGCCGACCTCCGCCGACTCGACTCTTCCCGACCCGGCTGCCGATTGCCGCCGATCCGAGGCATTTCGATCGCCGGTCCGACTTATGTATCGATTCGACTCTGGCTGGGCGCTCCTGCCCGTGAAGCCGCGCACCACAGGGCAGAGCCTTGCCAGGGCCGCTCCCATTCCAGCTGGGAGCCCATGCAGACGCCGGGTGCGCCACGCTCGTGGGGCGCATCTCGCGAGGCGCGCCACGCGCGCGGGGCGTCCAGGTGCGCCTGATGCTGCAGATGCGGCACGCTTGGCGCTCCCGCCCCGCCATGGTCCAGCGCGGAGTGAGGATGGGATGCCCGCGCGTGGTCCAGAGTTCGCTGCAGCATGCGCTTCGTGACGGTTATTCTGCGTAGCACCCCGCTCTTGCGGACGAGGGCGAGGGGGCTGCGACGGGAGCAAAGCCTCCGCCTCCCATGGCGTGCCCCCCCAAAGTCAAATACTGCCCCGGTCCTTTGCCCCTGGGTATCGCCCCCGCGTGATGTCCCCATGTGCTGCACCCATTGTATCACCCCCCAAGTGTGCCCCCCGTTGTATTGGCATAAAGTATCGCACCCATGTGTTGCCCCCAAGTGTTGCCCCCATGTGTTGCTTCCAAGTACCGCCCCCAGAGACGGAGCCCTCCACTCCGCCGCGGCGCGCGCAGGAAAGAAGAATATCAGTTCGGGCTCCCTCGCTCTGGCCTGCTGCTGCGGCGGCCTCCCCGAGGCTTCTTCCCACCGGCAGGCCGACCGCGCTGCACCCCCGGGAGAGTCTCCCAGACAGCCTCTCCCTCCCCGCGCACACTCTACCCCTTTTCTCCACATGCCTTTGAAGGACGGTCCGTGGAGGTCTCCCAGGTGCCCGAGAGAAGCCTCGGCGACTGCCCATCAGGCCCCAGAAGACGGGCCCCGAGAGGCTCAGCTACTACTCACGGAGAAGCACCCGAGACGCCGAAACCGTGTGATTTCTATTCCTTTTGTGGGTACATGCTTGAAGCTCCCCCCCTTTGTGCAGCTCAAGATGGCTCCGAGACATGCCCCCGGGAGGCTGGTCACGAGGTCCACGGCTGGTCACGGCTTCTGCGAGTTCCCGAGGCGGCTCCGGCGCCCTCCCCGAGAGGCGGGCCAGAGCGGCCTTGGAGGTCGTCCTAGGACAGCTCGACAGCGGCCCAAGAGTAAGTCGGGCCTGTCCCTCTACAGGAGGAAAACTCAAAAATAGTACAAAAATAGTCCGGGGCTGAAAAAATAGTCTGGGGCTGATTTGTTGATTATTTTTCCCGGAAAGGGCCTGAGCCCAGGGTTCTCTTTTAGTTGGTTTCCCCCCGGTTTTGACGGCTGTAGGGCCGGCGAATTTCTTTTGCGATAAATAACGAGGTCGCGTAGGGCCGGCGAATTAAAAATTGAGGATGTCCCTAGCGAAACGCTTGTTTTTCAGAATTTGTTGAGGATGTCTCAAGCGAAACGCTTGTTTTGTGCTATAGAGTGTCCTCTCCTGGGGACCTGAATTCTGAGGATTTCTCAAGTGGATTGCTTGTTTTCACGTGCCCAGGTCTTGAGGATGTCTCGAGCGAGACGCCTGGTTTCACGCCTCCAGGTGGCCCAGACAGATGTCTAGCATGAGGATTTGTTCAGGATGTCTCGAACCAGAGGCTTGTTTTCACGTGTCCAGGTCGCCCAGGCGGATGTCTAGCATGAGGATTTGTTGAGGATGTCTCGAGCGAGACGCTTGTTTGCACGTGTCCAGGTTGCCCAGGCGGATGTCTAGCATGAGGATATGCTGACAACGTCTTGAGCGAAACGCGTGTTTTCACGTGTCCAGGTCGCCCAGGCACAGCACAGCCCTCGGCACGGTACATCAATATCGATACCCTGAGCATTGCAGCCTGGCATGTTGCCTGGCACGTTCCGCGGAGCGTCCCGTGGCGAGTCCCCCTGGCACGTCGCGCGGTGCACGTCCATTGGCACGTTCCGTAGCGCGTCCCCTTGGCACGTCCCGCGGTGCGTGCCCATGGCACGTCCCCTGGCACGTCGCCTGGCGCGTCCCTTGGGACGTTCCGCGGCGCGTCCTCTTGGCATGTTCCCTCTGTCGATTAGTTCTGGGGCAGCTACCATCTGCTCAGGCAGCTCGAGCTTACGATCCAGATCAGTTCGGTGAGGACTCGGATGCCAGGGAGGACTCGATCCACAACGCTATACAGAGCACAATCGCGGCATGGCACATCGCAGTTCAGCACGGCCCAGCACAGCACAGCCGTCGGCACGGTACATCAAGATCGATACACTCAACTATGCACCTTGGCACGTTCCTTGGCGCGTTCCTTGGCGAGTCCACCTGGCACGTCGCGCGGAGCGGCCCCTGGCACGTCCCTCGGCACGTCCACTAGCACGTTCCGTAGCGCGTCCCCTTGGCACGTCCCGCGGTGCGTGCCCATGGCATCGTGATATCCGGAACCTGGGAAATGAGTGAAGCCGAGTGCTGTGGGGAGGCGATTGTTTCTGAAGCTCATCGGCCTCCCCGGTGGTCTTCCTCATCCTGCGATAAATCCTTCTAAACAGCTTCCCAAAACAATATTTCCTTAGGCATGCTGGACATCCGGGAATACAGCGAGCGCGTTTGGGTGTGGAATGACTGATTTTTGCTTGGATTGCCGTGTCATCATGCAGGGTTTTCTTGCCAGCGATCATCAAACGGGAATGTTTTTCTCCACGTGGTGATTGGATTTCTGATCCACTGTACTGCGTTTTGGGTTTCAAAATCTGGTTGCCTTGGTAATTTTCGTCGAGGTCCACGCTGCGCCTGGGACTCTTGGTTGATTTTGCATGCTGCCTCCGCCCTGCTCGCTAAAGAGTACGGGAGGGGGAAGGAAGGGCGGACTCGGAGGGGAGGGGAGGAGGGAAGAACGGGCGAGGGGAAGGGAAAGGGCGACGAGGGAAATACAGGACAATGGCGGAAAGAGAAAATGGAAGGGTGATGCACCGAAAATGAGCAGCAGGCGAAGTCCGAGACCTGGAAAACAGCCAAACTAGAATCGCGTGTTCCCGCTGGCGCGAGGGTGGCTGCGCTCAATGCGGGTGCGCAGTGCACGTAAAACGGATTTGCGCAAAGATACTGAGGGGAGAAGGAAGGGATACAGCAGGGGGGGAGGGACGGGGAGACATGCCCCATGGTGGCTATTTCACCGCAGTGAGCGACGTCGCACAGTGTGAGGGGCTCACCGAAATGAGTAGTATATATACAGGGGGAGACATAGAGACAGGAGCACAGAGAGAACGAGAGAGAGAGAGAGATAATCACGAAAAAGGGATACTGAGGCAAAGAGAGAGAGAGAGAGAGAGAGAGAGGGAGAAGGACCCATATGCATTTGCGTATACATATCTAGATGTATATATGCATATGAATACAGATCACACGAAGGAACACACTGCGCATTTTTTTCAGAGCGAGTGGCAGCCACACGGCAATGCGATAGCATGGCCCCCAATCCAGGGGATGGCCGGGGATGGCCAGGGGATTGCCCAGGCAGCGCAGACAAAAAGAGTCAGGCAGGGATAACCAGAGGGAAAGATCGAGAGAGAGAGAGAGAGCGAGACACGTACATCATGCCGCATACAGATGTGCGTCCATGGGGGGAGAGAGAGAGAGAGAGAGAGAGATAACACCAACAACAACAACAACAACAAGCGAGAGATAACTACACAAAAGGAAACAATACAGATATATCGCATAAACATACTGAGATATATACGGTCAGACATACAGATACATAGATACATATCATCAGGCACACATACATAGAGAGAGAGAGAGAGAAACTATACAATGAGCGAGGCATCGAGAAAGTGCGATCGAGGGAGAGAGAGAGAGAGAGAGAGAGAGAGAGAGCGAGATATAGAAATAAAGACAAGCCAACAAAACAAAACGAGAAAGAGAGAGAGAGAGAGAGAGAGAGAGAGAGAGAGAAAGAAAACGGGAGAGGGAAACATGAGATGCGTCCCCGCAAGCTTCTGCTGCGGCCGCAATCTCGTGTAAGAAGTCGTGCTGGTTCCTCCTGCTGGCGCCCCCTCCCTCTGCCGTCATCTCCTTCTCCTTCCTTTCTGATCCCCCATGCCACATGGGGTGCTCCACCCGGGGTGAGGGGTGCTCTTTCATTTTATTTCGGCGGGGCCCCGCCTCGGTCCCTCCCTTTTTGACTCGCACGTCGGCACGTGTAACGGGGTGTCGGCTGGTACTGACCGTCGGTCCCCTCGGGTCGGGGGACCGTCAGCTCTCCGGGGGTCGGCTGGGACTGGGCGCGGGACCGTCGGCTCTCGGGAGGTCGGCTGGGACTGCGCGTGAGACAGTCGGCTCCCTTGGGGGTCGGCTGGGACGGCGCGGGGCCGTCGGCCCCCAGGGGGTCGACTGGGGCTGCGCGGGACTGTCGACTCCCAGAGGGTCAGTCAGTCTCCTCCTCCTCCTCCTCCTCCTCCTCTCCTCCTCCTCCTCCTCCTCCTCCTTCTCCTCTTCCTCCTCTTTCTCCTCTTCCTCCTCCTCCTCCTGCTCCCTTTCCCTCCTGCTCTTGCTTGCGCTGCTCTCCTCTGCTGCTTGCGCCCCACCTGCTCCGGCCATTCTGCTCCCTGCTCGCGGCCGCCCTGCGGCGCCCGCTGGGCGCCAGCGCCGCGGAGCCATGGAGGCCAAGGTTTTCATGGCCTTGGCTCCGTCGGCTGGGCGGCTGGACGAGGCGGCGCTCAAGCGGGTGAACGCGGCGCCGCCCGCCCGCGCCGCTCCCCAGGAGGAGGATGCCCTGCCCGAGGATGGGGGCATGATGGGGGACGTGACGAGGAGGAGAGTGGCGGGACGAGGACAAGAGGAGTCATGAGGAGGTCCGCAGGAGGGCGACGAAGCACGCGAGGACAGCGGCAATGGCAATAGCAGCAATATTGGCAATAGCAAGCACGTGGAGGAATTGGGGGGAAGGATATGTGGTCCGTAGCCATTTTGGCTCAGTTTTGCAATTCGATTGCACCCTCAGCACAATGGGGCTGAGCTGCGGACGCAGGGCTGCGCCGCAGCCACCGCCACCGCCGCCGCGGCCGCAGGAGCCGCCGGCGGGGCCGCTTGCACAGCCGGCGGCGCCGCCGAGGAGGCCGACCGCGGACGACTGGCGGCGGGTGGCGCGCGGGCTGATGCGGCTTGCGAGGCGCCGCCGCCTGTGGGGCCTCTTGGGGGCGTGGCTCCGGGAGATCAAGGCTCCTCCTCATCCTCACGATCCTTTCTCCTTTCTCCGTTTCTCCTCCTCCACCTCCTCCTCCTCCCCCTACTCCTCCTCCTCCTGCCTCATCCTCCTCCTCCTCCTCCTCCTCATCATCATCATCATCATCATCGTCATCATCATCATCCTTCTCGTCCATCCCCTCCTCCCCGCTGCTCCCTCCGCCTTCTCATCGATCCATTGCCCCATTACCTCCGTCGCCAACTCCACGCCCTATCCTTTTTCACCGCCTTCTCCATCACTATCCTCGCTCAGTTATCGTATCTTCGTCCGAAGCTCCATTCGTATCACCTCCTCAGTCTCCTCAGTGAGTTTTCTTTCTCCTTGCCCCCCTTGCCATCCTCGAACCCTCCTCAATTGACTCCTCAATTCCTCCTCCTCCCCCTCCCCCTCCTCCCCCTCCCCCTCCTCTTCCCTCCTCCTCCTCCTCCCTCCTCCTCCTCCTCCTCCTTCTCCTCCTCCTCCTCCTCCTCCACCTCCACCTCCTCCTCCTCCTCCTCCTCCTCCTCCCCCTCCTCCTCCTCGTCGTCGAAGGATCGTGGTGGAACTGCTCTTTGAGCGGCGGCGCCGTCGAGGGAGGCGTTCGCGTCGATCGCTGGGCGCCGCGCCGCGCTGCCGCGTGGGCAACCATAGGCTGCAGTCAGGCTCCCGCCCTGTGACGACGTGGAGAAGATCTGGCACCGTCCTCCTCATCGAGCTCCGCGTGGCACCATCGCCTCACCCAGCGCAGTAATTTGTTGTAAAAGGAGATTGGGCCTGGGGCGAGGGGGGGATGAGCCGTGACGTGGGTGATGATGTGGAGGGCCCTGATGACGATCACGTGGGCCCTCACTTCTACGACTTCCTCCCTCGGCGTTCCCACCTCTTGCTGCAAGCTTGCCCGCCAACTCCTCCACTTCATATTCCGGCCTCATGCCCCCCTACCCCCTGTTTTCGTTGCGTGATTGCACCACTCCTGCCCCCTTATCTTACGTGGCTCTTTCTCCTCCTACTCCTCCTCCACCCTGCTCCTTCTCCCTCCCCTTCCTTCCTTCTTCCTCTTCGGTTACCTTTGCAAATCCACTGTCTGTCTCCTGTCACCCCCATCCCGTGCCCCGCCCAGCGTGGCCCCGCGCGCGGCCCGCGCCCAGGCGCTGCGCGGTCCCGCAGGCCCGCCGGCAGCCCGCCCCCGCGCTCTGGCCGGGGCCCTTTCTCCGGAGGAAGAGGATGGCGAGAAGGGTCAGAGAGAGGGAGAGAGAGGGGCACGTTATCGACACACGCACGCACACATATCTATATATACATATACATATATACATACATATACATGTGTATATAAATTTATACGAGAGGGAAGAGAGCAGAGAGGATACATGTACAGACATAAACATATCACGGTAGATAGGAGTAGATATCGAGAGAGAGAGAGAGTGCGGTTCCAAGCACGATTTAGTCGACCCCGCGGTGTCCAATCCAGGCGAGGGCGCCCTGCAGTTCGAGTCGCGGCGCGGGTGGGTCGCGGATGGTTTGCTGCGCCGATGGTTCGCGGGTGGGTCGCCGGTGGGTTGCGGTGCGGGTGAGCCGTTCGGTCCCCTCACTGACCGATGTTGGTGACCTCTTGGATCCGTCTTGGGGCTCTCTCGGGACCGTGTCCTCTTGTGCCCCTCCGAGGGCCCTGCGACGGGTCCAACGCGGAGGGCTCTAAGATGAATTCGAAAGGGATCCAATATTGGTCAAAGGCTTCTCGCGACCGCTCTTGGGGCCATCTTGGGGCCCTCATGGAGCCGTCTCGAGGCCCTTTGGGGCCATTCCGAAGGCTTCGAACGGCTCCACCATGGATCGACGATGATTCCAATCTGGTCCCGAGAGCGGTCACGCGAAGCCTCTCTCGCGTGACTGATCTTGGGTGCCTCTCAGGCACCTCGTGGGGCCGTCTGGGGGCGCTGCTGAAGCCGCCTTGCATTCCGACCGAGAACTGAAGGGACCGAACGACTCACCTCAGCCACCTCCTCCCTCCTCCCTCTGAGGCGCGCGCGTCGCCTCTCTCCCGCCTCCCTCCTCCCTTCTGGGCTCTCCCAGAAGCCAAATGCTTCCCGGCTCCTCCAAGACGGGCGGGTGGCGGGGCCGACTGGTCGCGGGCGGGTCGCGAGGCGGTTGGGTCGCAAGTGGGTCGGTCGCAAGCGCCGCGCCCGCCCGCCTGCGCCATTACTCTTATCAGGCATTGCGGGGCGCCACGGAGAAAGAGGGAGAGATAGATCGACATATATAGAGAAAGAGAGAGAGAGAGAGAGAGAGAGAGAGAGAGAGAGAGAGAGAGAGAAACAAATGAGAGGGGGATACATACGTAACAACAACAGCAACATCAATAACAACAACAACAATCATAACAACAACACCAACAACAATGACAACGACAAAATGCATGGGCCCCTGGCCCGTGTTCAGGGCCCTGCCGAGGGCAAAAGGGAGCCCAAACCAGATAGATGAGTGATGTGCTTTCTGGGGGCCCTTTTGGACCAGCTTTGAAACTCTGAAGGGCGAAAAGTCACGAAGGCAAGCGCTTGGGGCTGCGAGGGCAAGGGTTTGAGCGGACAGGAATCGTTTTTCGTTTTTGTTTCCCCCCGAGTGTGTCTGGTCTGCAGTATCAAAAAACTGTTGAAGCTCTGAAGGGCCCTATCGCGGCCCTCTCGGTGCCCTCCTGGGCACTCTTTGAAGCCTCTTGGGCCTTCTTTGTGTTTGTGCAAGATATATCGCATATTCATTTTGTACGCGGTCCTCCTGCGGTCCACTTGGAGCCCTCCTGGGCCCCGCTCGGAGCTCTGACAGGTCCTCTCGGGGCTCTCTCGGGCCTTCTCGGAGGCCTCTTGGGGCTTCTCTGGGGGTCTCCGATGAGCTCGGAAAAGGGGGCCCAGGAGGGGCCGAAGCCAGATGGATCAGATATCCATGTGTTTGTTGGTCCTCTTGGAGCCTTCTTGGATGCCTCTTGGGGTTCTGAAGGGCCCCCTCGGGGCCCTGTCTGTTTTTTTGTATGCCTCTCGGGGCTTTCCGAGGAGGTCTGGGGAACTTAGAGGGGGAGAGGGTTCAAAAAATACCGAAACCATCTCGATCCGTGATCTATCTGGCGCGTGGTCCTCTGGGGGCCCCTCGACAGACAGGGGGCGAGAGAGAGAGAGAGAGAGAACGAATAAACAAAAAAAACAATAGAGGGGGAGAGAGGGAAAGAGAGAAAGCGAGAAAGAGAGAGAGAGAGATAGAGAGAAATACAGAAAGAGAGAGAGAGAGAGAGAGAGAGAGAGAGAGAGAGAGAGAGAGAGAGAGAGATAGAGAAAGAGACAGAGAGAGACAGAGAGAGAGAGAGAGAGAGAGAGAGGAGAGAGAGAGAGAGAGCGAGAGAGAGAGAGAGAGAGAGAGAGAGAGAGAGAGAGAGAGAGAGAGAGAGAGAGAGAGAGAGAGAGAGAGAGAGAGAGAGAGAGAGAGAGAGAGAGAGAGAGAGAGAGAGAGAGAGAGAGAGAGAGAGAGAGAGAGAGAGAGAGAGAGAGAGAGAGAGAGAGAGAGAGAGAGAGAGAGAGAGAGAGACACAGAGAGAGGGGGGGAGAGAGAGAGAGAGAGAGAGAGAGAGAGGAGAGAGAGAGAGAGAGAGAGAGAGAGAGAGAGAGAGAGAGAGAGGAGAGAGAGAGAGAGAGAGAGAGAGAGAGAGAGAGAGAGAGAGAGAGAGAGAGAGAGAGAGAGAGAGAGAGAGAGAGAGAGAGAGAGAGAAGAGAGAGAGAGAGAGAGAGAGAGAGATAGAGGGAGATGGCTCAGAGATCAGATGGCGAGCGCCGACCGACCACGACTGGTCCCACCATCTTTCTGACCCAATAGTGTCCCACCTCGCGTATCATCCTTCTCTTCTCGCCTTCGCTCGACCTCGTCCCCGTCGGTCGCTCGGCGGGCTCCCGTGCCGCCCCCGTCACCCAGGCGAACGATTATTCATTTGGCGCCCTCTCCCTGCCCAGACCGTCCTCCCACTCCACCACTTCCTGCATCAGGCATCTTCTGGTTTCCTCTTCTCTTGTTTTCCTTCTGCGCCCCCTTGCTTCCGCCCGCGGCGCCCCGCCCCGCGGCCGCCGCGCTAGGTCACTGGAAGAAGTTCGTCTTGACCTTGGCGAGCGAAGGCCGGGCCCCTTCCCTCGAGGATGCGCCGCGCTTCGTTCGCTTCCTGGGCCGCGAGCTCCGGGGGTGGGATGATATGCGAGGTCGACTCTAATCCCTCGCACCGGTGGTAGTCGTGCCCGACTCGAGCGACGACGAGGGACGGGGCGGCGAGCGGGCAGGAGAGCAGATCGTCCCTTCATCGAGCCACTCTGGCCAGATAGTGCCAGCAGCTGAAGCGACAGACGCCAGAGACGCCCAAATCCGAAAGCTGCACGAAACCATTGCAAAGCAGAGGCCGGGGATCCGCAACGCATGGGGCCTGCGTTCCTGGGCTGCCCGGGGGTCTAAACTTTCGCGACTGCGCCCCTGGATGGGCCGCTCTCGCGATGGCGCTTTCGGGCGACCCGGGTGGCCAAGATCGCAGCCCCTTTCGTTGCGGCTGCCCGGGGAGGGCGACGATCCGCAACCTCCAACAGAAGCTCAGGCGTCGACAGCTACCGCGAAGCATAAGGAGTTGGGGGCAGTCGAAGGGAGCGGGCAGCTGGTAGGAGAAAGGAAAAAGGGGGCACGGGTAGAGCAGGAGGAAGGGAAGGGCGCAGTAGCGATGGGGGTCCGAATCCTCTTACCCTCCCCCCTCCTCTTCTTCCGCCTCATCTTACTCGTCTGGGGCGCCTGGATCGGATCCGACGGTCCTTAGACCGCCGTTTGGTTTTTCGTCATGAGGGGCTCTTGGACATTGGGGGCCCAACGGCCCCCATCGCCGCGCCCTCCTGGGCTCTCGGAACCTCGAATGGGTCGCCCGATATCTGGGGGAGAGCTTTCAGATATATCCTAATAGTACATTATCATTGCCCCTCACCCGCGCCCTTCCCCTCCCCGGGCCCCTCCCCCTTCCTCAGCGCCATCCGTGTCCAGGGGGTCCAGGGCCCCACGCCCCTCGCACCCCCGATGCTTCGCTGGTAGCCGGGTAGGGCGCGTCAGTTGCAGCTGCAGGGGGCGACGGGTGCAAGTGTTGTATCGACTCCTGCTCCTGCTAGTTGCATGGGTATAAGACGGAAGGCAGGCAACGCACGGCTGACTGATTCAAGTAAGGTTTCCCTGGCCCTGCGCCGAAACTACTCTAATGTTGCTGCGTCAGACCTTGGGAAAGTGCTTCTGGATGATGTGTCTGGGCAAACAGTATGCCGCGCAGAAATTCTCACAGGAACGATGCTATGTGCGTCGGCCAGGTTTGGTTTCTATCAGACGGCGTTGCAGCAGTTGAGATCCCCGGCGAGCCCTGGTCTGATGGTGCATTCAATTTTGTCAGATGCCACGAACAGCTCAGTTTTCAAAGGTCAGAAATTGCAGGCTACTATTATTGAGAGCATGTATGTGGCCGGCACCGTGAGTCTCCCGTGCACGTCCCTGAGAGACGACCTCGTGGCGTTATCCAAGGAGTGCCGCCACATCAAGAGGGTCGCAGATATTCTGGCTGTTACGGACCCGAGTGCTAAAGGCTTATGGACCTTGCTGCACAAGCAAATGGCTAGCGTCGGGTGCCCCACATGGTCGGAAACAGTTTCAGCCGGGCCCCGGGCAATCAAATGGGCTAAGCAGGGCGAGGTAGGTAGGAGGAACGAGGCTGGAGGAGAAGGAGAAAGGCGGGGGCAGCAGAGTAGCTGAGTAAGGCTGAGTAAGGCATGGTATCCAGGAGGAGGGAAGGGGGGCCAGGCCCGTTCGCTGCTGCTTCTTTCCTGAAGCACACCCCGCAGCCCCCGCTGGGAAGCGCCCCAGGGCGCGGGCGAGGCGAGGAGCCCGGAAGAGCATGACGAAGGAGAAGGAGGGAGGATAACAATGTTATCCTCCCTCTGCCGTGTCATCCGATAACACGGCAGAGCCTTCCGCCAGCTCATCCGCCCTCCCTATCCTCATCATCTTTTCCATCCCCCTTGCCCTCCATATCTGTCCTTTCCCCCTCCTCTGCGCCGCCCCCTCAGTCACTCACTCGGCCAAATTACATGATCATGATCATGGTCTTCGATCTCGGCCGATTCCTCGCCCACGCTCTCTTCTGATCATTCGCGTCTCCTTGCTGGCCCAATGTAATGCCATCCTCCTCCTCCTCCTCCTCCTCCTCCTGCCCATCCTGCCCATCCTCTCTGCCAGCTGGCATTCAGCTCCTCGCTCTGCCTCCCGGCCTCCGCCTATCTTCGGCCATCCTTCTCCTTCCTCTCCTCCCCCGCCCCCCTCTCTTCCTTCGCCAAACGCCCAAACCAGACCCTCCACCTCCAAGCGCCCAAGCGCTCCTCAGCACTCGGCCCGCGCTCCCAGGTCAGAGAGTGAGACAGGCACGTTCACGACCTACATCTATACGGCGGACCAAGGCCCCGATCAGATTGGCCTCAAGAAGATCGTTCGCTGCGCTGTCGGGGGAAGCGTCCGCTGCTGCTCTCTCCACGTCGACTGCTTGCAACATGACAATCATAGGATGGTGAAGGGAGGCTTAACGTTGGAGGAGATGGTCCTCCACGATTTGGGCGTGGAGTGGAAATGCTACAGTTCCCTTTGTAAGTTGACCCACGCGTGGCGTGACGTCCACGGCAGCATCTTCCAAACGTGGTCACGTTTGTATGGGCCCTTGAGTGCCGTGAGCCTTGTGAGGTGCTTGCCCCGGAGGCCGATCTCAGAGAGATGGGGGACCATCGACGGTTGCGAATCATACATGTTGAACGCCGGCCGCTTCCGAGTGGCAACCGTGGTGTCCTCAGTGTTGACCAGCCTCGCCATGAAAACGAACGCAGCTAAACCAAATCCCAAGAAGAAGCGCCCCGTCCCCATCGAAGACGATAAACCAGACGGACCTGGGCCCCTTGACGAAATAGCGATCGAGGAGACTAGGAGGTATCGGGACATGATGGGCCGCTGGCGCCGAGATGTTTGCCTTGTCATCGAGGATCCCATATTCTGGATCACCCTCAGATTCTCGCACCGGGCCCGCAGTCCTCTCACGGGCTTCTTAGCATATAATCAAAAGGTCAGGGGGAATGATGAGTTATGGGCGGAAGGTCCGGCGATAGTACAACTCGTGACGGGCAAAGCCCGACATTTTATGGGAGAATTTGATGAGATGCTGGGAGATCCCTGGTGGAATAATGTAATAGATGAATACAGGGAAGAGTTGTCTGCGGACCAGCGCATAGGCATGAATATACTCGCCTCTTCATTGGTACTCTTTTACGCAGCTGCATTCGATCGGCGCATTGTCCGACCGATTGGGAAGCTCCTGGGTGGTCCGAGAACAGTCTCTCTGTCTCTCTACTTCGTTGGGGGCGGGCGACGGAAGGCATGGGCAGAGGGGCAGGGCCGGGGCAGGGCTGGCGAAGCTGGGCGGAGAAATCGGGGGAAGGACCTAAGGAGTCGGAGGTGGGCAGGGGGCCTCGCGCCCTCGCTGTCGGAGACGACGTCGCCCTCGTTGCTCTCGTCGACTCTTGCCCTGGCCCTCCCTTGTGGCCAGCACTCCGTTGCTTGCCGCGGGCGCGCGTTGGGCGAGTCCCGGAGCGCCCCGAGGACGAAGCGAGGGGCATGAGGATAATGAGAAGGAGAAGAGGAAGGAAGGATGTGGAGAAGGAGATGGAGGAGGACAAGAAAGAGGAGGAGGAGGAGGAGGAAGGAGGAGGAGGTGGAAGATAATGAGGAGTCCTCTAATGAGGAGTGTCACGGGAGTCCGAGGAGCGGAGGCCCCTGGAGGGCAGCCCGCACGAGGACTGTGAGAGGTGCGCGGGGATGTGGTAGGGCGGGGCTGAGATGTAAGGAAGACGACCTGAGAGTGAGGTCGCCTCAGCGGCTGCGCCCCCGCCTCTCTCCGCGTGCCCCAGGTTCCCGTTGAAATTATTCTGGCTGGCATTTGAGAGGCACAACGTCTACTGCAGCGAGCGCCAAGGCGCGCGCCCTCTTGCCGCGGTGCGCTTCACGTCTGCGAGGCCCCGAGTGAGCAGTCGGCACGGCGGCCCCTGTGGGCCGTGGGCTGGCAACTGCTACTGAGCATCTTCGGTTGAGATGCTCTCGAGGCTCTCCAGGGGGCCTCCAGGGGTCTGGGTCGCCCCCTAGGGCCCCAGGGTTTTTTTCTGCCCATCAGATCGGGCCTCTCCCAGGCTCTCTCAGGGTCTCAGGGCTCGCGTGGGATTCTTTGGGGCGAATGCAGGCCCGATCGGCCCTCGTGCGCAGCGGGCGCAATCAAAGGCCCCGGGGGCCGAGCTAGACACAACGGGTCGGCCCGGGTCGGGCTCGGGTGGGGTGCTCGCCCTTCTAGACATCAGCAGACATCTACTTGTGCTTGATGCGTAAACGCAGTTCCCCCCCTCCGTCTCTCGTCATAGTTGTCGCCACCGCTTGCGCACCAATCCCAGGAGTTGCGTATGAGATATTACATGCGGACGGGCTAGATGATGTGACTAATACTATCCAGCTGCCTCTGGCAATTCCTCCAACGTGCCAGCGCATCACCTTGGGACTCTGGGTGGCAGCTGACCTCAAGGGGGGTCTGGTTGCCCGGGGACCTCCATGAGTACGCGTGCAAGTAGGCGCGACGTTCGAGGCGGGTGGGCCCCGTAAGACCACGTGACATAAGTCCTGCCATACAGCACTTGGTATTTATCCAGCCTTGACGTGTCAGGAGGCACGGTGGCGGATCAAAGCTTGTTTCAATGATGACCTTAAGATAGCAGCTACTGACGGTACGTGCCCATGTAGACTTTGGATTGTTATAGTTATGTGGCGACGTATGATAAAAGGGTGATCAACAAGCTGCGGAAACGGTCAACAAGCTGATTACCATCCAATCAAACCGTGCACCTAATATAAGTGTCGACCTAATGAGCTCTAGAGTACAGATAAAAGGGCTACTCGATAGATCTCGAGCATCACTCAATAAGAAATGGAGAGACTGTAAAGCAGAGGCACACGCTATCATGAATACTTGTATGGCCCACGTGAAGGATGCCAAGGCCCTTGCCGACGTGCTCAGGTTTGCTACGCCAACCCATCACCACCCATTGCCCGTCTCTGACATTGATCCTAGTCTTGCTGACCTACCTCCATTGCCGCCGGCGTTGCCGCCCAAGCCCCCGATGGGGGGCGCCGCGGGGGCCTCGGGGCCCGCGCTCGCGGAGCCAGCTGCGCCAGTGCCGATTGGAGACGCCCCCGCGGCAGGCGATGTTCGGGCAGATGCCCCCGCCGCTGCCCCGCCACGCGCTGGCCCCCCTGCCCCGCCTGGCCCAGCACTCTCGTGGGAGGACGTGGAACGAGCGAGCAAGTACAACTCCCAGTGGCATGCGCTGACGAAAAAGCACAGGGGGGTTACGAATATGTTGGAGATGCAGCCGATGGCAGTCCAGCGTATTTTGTGTGCTGCGAGAAGTTCAGATCCCATGGCCACTTTGCCAGGTGCTACTACGATGGCGCGACTGGATCAGTTGTTGTGCATCGTCCTTTGGCAGATGCGTTTCGCTCTTCCGTCGAAGTCTTCGCGTCTGAGCATCACAGCACGAACGCCGCGCGCGCTAGGCAGGACGTCGACTCCATCCCGCTGGCCGCGCTGATCAAGAAGGGGGTCAAGGTGAACCAGAGCGTCCGCATATCACACAAGAAACTGACTTGGGGCAAAGTCGGGCATGCAGAGGCTGCTTCGGAATCCACGCATTTGTTCACAGTGACGAAGCAGTCAGACGATAAGAAGCGCAAGGCTACGCAACCACCCGGGGCCCATGCAGCCGGGGCGGGCCCGTCATCGGCCCCGGCTCGGGCGGCTGCGACGGCGGCCGCAGTCGAGCTGATGAGGGCGGCCAGCGGAGAGGACGAGGATGGCGAGGGCGGCGAGGGCGACCCATGCGACACCGACGGCGTGTTCGAGGCTGAGCTGACCAAGGTGATCGACAGGATCGAGAAGCAGGAGGAGAAGGCAGTCACTGCCGCTGCCAAGGCGGGGAAGATCTCCGACAAGGCCTTGCAGGAGGCAGCTGCGATGGTCGTCGATCCGGCAGGTGGTGAATCATTCCCGGAGTTGCTGATAGAGGCCGCGTGCAATAGCAGTGCTGTTTACGGCGTCGTGGAGGGCGGGGATTACCTTGATTTGTTGCAGAAGGAGTGGCGTCACCAAGTGTCGGCGGGGATCGACTTCCTGTCTCGCGTGCCTGGCCGTGCAGCTCAAGACGTCGTGCCCGGCGCGAACGGCGAGTTCTCTCTGATCACCTTCCAGGGCCGGGCTCGCGTTGCTTCGTGGACCAGCATGAAGGCCAACAAGGCGCGCTTGGTTCGGCAAGACCTCGAGGGGAAGCTGAAGACGATAGTGCCCATGCATGATCCAGAGGTGACGTTGGGCCCCGACTCGGTCGTGATCCACCCGTCCATTGGCTTGTCGGAGCGGCGCATCAGGGGGCCGCAGCGTGAAAGATTGGAGATTTCGAAAATCAGGAAGACGGAAATTGAGAATCCCCGCCAGACTTTACCAGATGACATCAACAATTTGATGGGCAGGTGGCAGATTGCGTTGCGTGAGCCAGAGACGATGTCAACCCTTGTGTGCATGCGCTGTTTGAGTGAAGATGGTACTTCGAAGCCCGCCAATGTTGCGTGCCCGGTGTGCCGCTTCAGCTGGCGCGACTCATGCATGGAGTCTTGCAGTGCAGACGATATCGTACATCGTCTATAGTACCGCAGAACTTTGAGCTTCATGGGATATTGTCGCGGTCCCGTGGCAGCGGCCTGCTTTCCTTTTCTTATTTGTGTTGTTGACTTGCTTCGCATGCGTACTGTTGATTTGCGGCGCCAGCCGTCCCCCTGTGGATCGCAACCTTGCAGCGTTCATTTCTTCAGTCACATCCCATCCCAATGCATGCGCCTCTCCCTCTCCGCGCCACTTCCCCACGACAGCTGCAGCTCGCGCGACTCTCTCGGGTGACATCTTGGGGGGCTCTCGGATCGGGGCCCCCTGATAGAGCCCGCTTGGACTGACCGGCGCCCCCGGAGAATACCTCTTGGAGCTCTCTTGCGGCCCCGTGCGGGACAGCGACAGCCCCGCATAGTGTGCGACGACCTGTGTGTAGATTCGAGCTCTTACTGGGCCCCCGCACCACCTCCCCCGGGCGCCCCCTGGGGCCCTCTCGACGCTCTCTCTGGGGGCCAAGGTGAGGAAGAGCGATGACAGGATATGCATTGGGGATCATGGAGTGGGGGAGGAGGAGGAGGAGGAGGAGGAGGAGGAGGAGGAGGAGGAGGAGGAGGCAGAGGAGAAGAACGATGAGGAGGATGAGGATAAGGATGAGGGCGAAGATGAGGACGCGGAGGAGGAGGAGGAGGAGGAAAAGGATGAGGAGGAGAGGAGGGGGGTAGGAGGAGGAGGAAGAGGAAGAGGAGGAGGAGGGAGTGGCGGTAGAGCTCATCTGCTGCTAAAGTCAGATTGTCGCTAGGTGCAATGTGGGGCCACCCCGTCTTGACGGCCTCGGCGGCCACGTCTCAAGACGAGACAACTCTCGCACGATGCGGATCACTCGCAGGGGGTGATTCGCATCGTGGCACTCCCGTGCCCCGTTTAGAGGCACCATCCGGAACTGTCTGAACACTTCACGTCGCTGATCAACCGCTCCTCCTCTCCTACCCCCTGTGCCCGGTGCCCCGCTCCGCGCCTGCAGGTCTCTGTGTTCGTGGTGTCGGGCTGCTCTGGCGAGATGATCCATCTCCTGGGAGCGCGCGCTCGGCTGCCAGGGGGGCCAGGGTGATGGTGAGTGTGAGGTCGAGAACACTGAGGATGAGGATGAGGATGGGGACGAGGGATGAGGACCACGAGGATGATGCGGATGATGATGATGATGATGTTGATGATGATGATGTTGATGATGATGATGAGGATGGTGGTGATGCAGATGCTGATGATGATGCTGATGATGATACTGATGATGGTGATGTTGGTGCTGATGATTAGACTGTTGATTGTGGCGCTTGTGACTCTGATGGTGGTGATGATGGCAAGGGCGATGCTGATAGTGATGATGGCGATGATGATGTCGATTTCAAAGCAAATCAGCGCCGCTGCTCAGAGCAGCACCCGCTCCACGCCAGGACATCAGCAGTGGGGCAGCGGAGCTGATGGCCGGCGACCACGACGCCGTCCGGGCCACATCGTGCGCCCCGCCCGCTGCCGCCGCCCCGGCGAGTCGAACTTAAGATGGACAAGGGGCCTCAATGTTGCCTCAAGATGATCTCTGGGCCGTCTTGGGCCTTCTGAAGCAGTCGAGCGGCCCTCGCAGGCCGTCGCGGGTGCGTTCGGGCGAGCGGGTCTCGGGCATGTCTTGGAGTCTTGGAGGCATATCGGGCCATCGCGGGCGTCTCTTGGTCTCTTGGGCCGTCTTGGAAGTCCCGTGGGCCTCTGGGGATCTTGGACAGTCTCGAAGTGATACAGGGCTAATCTTAAACCCTTAGACCTTAGACCCGTAGACAGTCTTGGCCAATCTTGGAGCTGGCTGGGATCATCTCAGCTGGTCAGCTGGACAGCTGTTCGGAAGGACTTGTGGGCTCACCACAGAAGGGGCGCGGACGCATGGAGGAGGAGGAGGAGAAGGACGAGGAGGAGGAGGCGGATGGAGGAGGAGGGGGGGGAGGATGAGGAGGAGGAGGAGGAGGAGAGGAGGAGGAGGAGGAGGAGGAGGGGGAGGAGAGCGCCGTCCAAACTAGGCCACTTTGGTAGGGATCACTGCTCGGCCAGTGGAGCTCCCTTGTGGCAGTCTTGGAGCTCCCTTGGAGCCCTCTTGGGGTTCTCTTGGGGGCTTCCTGGGGCTCTCTTTGGTGCCCAGTGTGACAAGAAGATAACGCCGATGATGATGGTCACGAGAATGAGTCACTATGGCGACGATGATGCTGCTAATGATGAGGATCGCGGTGATGATGCCGGGCGGAGAGGGAGAGGAAAGGAGGATAGGACAGGAGTGGTTACCAGCAACAGGCCACCAGCAACGCGTGACCAACCCAGCTGCCCAGCAGCAGGTGGCCAACGCCACGCGCCGAGCAACAGGTGACCGATTCAGCTGCCCAGCAACAGGTGACCAGCAACAACGACGGCACCCCTGCGCGCGATGGGGCCACACGTGCGCGCGGAGCTCCAGACCACGAAACGCGCGAGGGGATGTGCCGAAGGAGATGAGTGTGACTGCGATGATGATGAGGACGATGGTGATGGTGACGAGGACGAATCACGACGACGACGACTACGATGATGTTGATGTTGATGACGATGATTACGATGATGACGATGGCGATCATGAGAGAAGGGGGGCGAAGGGGAATATGGGAGAAGGCGAGAGGTGACCAGCGGCAGGTCACCAGCAACAGGTGACCAGCCCCAATTGCCCAGCAACATGTGCCCAGCACCAAGTGTCGAGCAACAGGTGACCAGCAGCAGGTCGCCAGCAACAGGTGACCAGCCCCAGCTGCCCAGCAACAGGTGCCAGCGCCGAACGCCGAGCAACAAGTGACCAACGCTGGTGACGAGCCGAAGGGCGCCCACCAATACGTGTCAGGCAACGTGCGGCAAGTTGGAGCGACAACATTCGGCATCGCATAGATTGGGGGGAGAAAAAGCAACGCGTGTCAGGCAACAGGCCAACGGCATCAAGTTCCAGCAACAAGCACGATCTCCAGATGGTCGGCGACATCTGACCAGCCGAATGCTGAGCTCCCTATGGGTAAACGTGACGCGTGATAGGTGTGCCCACTGTGACGAAGGTTATGACGACGATGCTGATGGTCACGAGGAGGATTCACGATGGCGATGCTGATGCTGCTGATGATGAGGATACTAGTGATAATGCCCGGCGGAGAGGGAAAAGAACGGACGCAGGGACATGAGGGGTGATCAGCAACATGCCACCAGCAACAGGTGGCCGACCCAGCTGCCCAGCAGCAGGTTGCCAACACCACGCGCCGAGCAACAGGTGACCAATTCAGCTGCCCAACAAAATGTGGCCAGCAGCAACGACGGGATCCCTACACGCGAAATAAGCAACAGTGCGCACTCCCACCCACCAGTGGGAACCAGCGAAACGCGTCAGAGGGCGCGCCGAAGGATATGAGTGATTGCGACGATGATGCGGACAATTGTGATGGCGACGAGGATGAATCACAACGGCCATAATGATGCTGATGATGGTGACGATGGCGATCATGAAGAGATGGTGAACGAAGGTGGATATGAGAGAATACGAGATGTTGTTCAATAGGTGTCCAGCACCAAATGCAGGACAACGTGTGACCAGCCAAGGTGCCGACATCACGCGACCACACCGCACTACATATCAGTGTGGGGGTGGGTATCAGCCCGACGCGCGTATACCAGCGTGAAGATGCACTTCCGTATGCTGTCTATACATGTAGGGATGTGTCACTCCACGCGTAGGGAGGTGCATTCCAACGCGCTTACACAAGCGTGGGGACATACCTCCCTACGCTACATATGTGAGTAGGGAGGTACATCCCCACACATGACTCTGATGTAGGGAGGTACCTCCCCACATGGGATTGTGAGCGTAGGGGGGTACCTCCCTACGCACTATATTGGTGTAGGGAGGTGACTCCCCACGCGTGTATACATGCGTGGGGAGGCACCTCCCTACACCACATATGGTGTAGGGAGGTACCTCCCCACACATGACTATCCATGTAGGGAGGTGCCTCCCCACACGTGGTCAATCGCGTGGGGAGGTGCCTCCCTACACGCCATATCGGTGTAGGGAGGTACCTCCCCACGCGCATATACAGGTGTAGGGAGGCACCTCCCTACACTACATATGGGTGTAGGGAGGTGCTTCCCCACGCATGACTATTCATGTGGGGAGGTACCTCCCCACATGTGGCTACGAGCGTAGGGAGGCACCTCCCTACGCGCCATATCGCTGTAGGGAGGTGCCTCCCCACGCATGTATATTCGCGTGGGGAGGCATCTCCCTACATATATCCGCATGCGTAGGGAGGTCACTCCCTACGCTGCGTATTGACGTAGGGATGTACCTCCCCACGCATGTCGAATCACGTTGGGGTGACCCCCCTACGCCCGAGCGCGAGCGTGGGGAGGTGCTTCCCTGTATTGAGTACAGCGTAGGGATGTATATCACTGTGTGCATGATATCATGTAGGGTGGTTACTGCATTCATGCCTCAGTTGTGCGTGGGTGCTATCTACGCATGCGTGCCATCAAATGTGGTAATGTAACTGCTCGTGCGCTGCGCGCGCATATAGCTGATGCACCTGCGCGTCTGCCGACGTGTTCTGATAATGCTCGCCGTGCTCGAGCCATCGATATATGCACTTATGGATTCACGCACGCGCGGGCTGATCTTCATGATATGTGTGTGTTTAATTATAATGATATGTCGCTCATAGATGACATATGCGTCGCCGCAGCTGTTTCAGCGTATGTTGCATTGATTCATCCTGTGCTACTGTGCATCAGTGCACTCACCGTCGACATGCCAACTACTTCGAACGATGCAGCTCGCAAAGTGATGAAGCGCCCCAAGACGAAGGCCAAGAGCAAAGCAAAATGTCAGCCGCGGCCGAAGCAGATGACCATGACGAAATGTAAACCAACAGTGGGCGAGCACTCGGACGGCCATGGTACCCCGTGCAGCGCCGCGTCCTCCACTCAGCCGGACCCAGCCCAGAAGACGCTGGAGTGCTTGCCGACGGTGGTGCGCACGCCGAGGCCTCAGCACCCGACTGCAGCGAAGTCTGGCTCACAGCCGCCGCAGACGCCAGAGTCGGGGGTCAAGGTGTGCATGGCAATTCAACGTAACTACACAGTTGCGACTACTCGTTCCTTTCCTCTGCTTCCTTTCTCATAATGTGACCCTCTACATATTCATGTGATCCCCCCTACGCACCTAACATCTGCTCCATCAATGGGCGGGCGTGGTTGGGAGGTTGGGATACATGGTGATGGGGAAGGGCGGGCGAGGAGGAATGATTGCGACGGTGGTCGTGCTTGATGACAATGATTGTAGCGATGGTGGTGATGATGCCTGTGCTGATGCTGATGATTGGGATGCTGCATAGTACGATGGTCGTGGCGATCGTGGGCATGATTGTTACGATGCCGGTGATACTCGTGATGGCGATCGTGGTTAGGATGATGATGATGATTGTGCTCATGATGCCGATGCTGATAATGACGTTGATGGTGCTGATGATGGCGATGACCACGATGATGTTGATGTTGATGATGGGCATGTCCCCGGGTGTGTGCGTGTGTGTGAGTGGTTTCCAACCGCAGGTCCAGAAGCAGGTCAAGTTGTTCCGCTTCGCCGAGCAGCTGGCCACGCCCCCGAGGAGGATCCGCGGCAGCATCGCCAGTCCAGGCGCCAGGCCGCACAGCCCAGCGGCGAAGAGCGTCGGCACGCCAGACAGCCTGTCGCCGACGGTGCCGATGGAGGGCGCCATCCAGCTGATGAGCCCGGCCCCTAGCCACTCAGCGGGGCAGCGGGAGAGTCCGCTGGGACCTCTGGCGGGAGACGCTCTCTCCTCGGCAGGCGCTGCTTTGGGCGAGAACGTTGAGAGCTGCGCCCCAGTCGCCAAGGTCGTGACCGACGGCGACATGCCCAGCCCGTCCCCGCGTCGGCTGGCCGCGGCGCTGTCGGACCCCTGCATGCGAGCGGCGCTGGGGGTCGCCGGCCCCAGCGACTTGCCAGAGGACCCAGGCGCGCCGACGCACCCGATTGCAGGGGCGAGCATCGAGCGGTCAGAGCACCCGCAGTCCCCGTGGCGGAGCCCTAGCTTGCTGGTGGATGATCAGCCGACCTCGCCACCGCAGCCACAGCCTTCGCCAGCGCCGCCAGCGCGCTGGCAATGGCGTCGGCCGCTGGAGCGGGGCAGCCTCTGGCAAGGCAAGCGGGCGGTCCGGGACTTTGGGGAGGCACTCGATTGGGCGGATCACGCCCTGGATCAGTTGGCCATCGAGTACGAGGTGCAGTGTGAGTCCGAAGACGGACAGATGCTGCAGGACCTGTCGGACAGGTTCGGCAACGATGCTGTGTCATGTGCGTTTTCGGGCATCGACGCGCCGGGCGTGGGCATCAACGAATTGTCGTGGGCGCTTGGGCG